TCCCACTGTAGGCCGATGCATGAAATTCTTACAATAATCTGGCGGTGAGTTGCTGGGAGACTGGAGTAGATAAGCTGTGTCCTGATTAGATTGATGAGGGACAGCTGAGTCGGACGGCCAGGTGAGAGCAATCAGGCTGCTGCCTGCAAGGGAAACAACACCCTCTCCACACACACACACACACACAGGGGAACAAACAGGGACACAGTTTGGGCCGTGACACTTAAAGCCTCTCTGCTCCTCTCTGGCCGTTTCTCGCAAGTAAAACTGCTGCAGAGCAACTATTTCAAGTATACTACGTCATAGAGTGGTGCAGAATGCTGGGTATTTAACATGCATTTCAAGTTAGTCCTTCGGCACCACTCGATGACGTAGTATACTTGAAATAGTTGCTCTGCAGCAGTTTTACTTGCGATTGAGAAACGGCCATGGTCTCTCTCTGCTTTTTCCTACAGGCAGCCAGTTCTGTTGAGTATGCTGTTTGTTACTTTACTTTGTGCACCTCAACACCCTCACACTTACACGTCCATGCAACCCTCACCCTGCATTTACACTACTGATACCACTGACGTCCACACCTCATGCTTTACTCATTTTTGCACTTCATTAATTTGGTTAATTTGAATTGTTTGCTTAAATAAACATATTTTATTAACCATTGATATGGTGTGTCTCCCACTTTGTTGTGACCTTTTGAGCCAGGTCATAACAGCATTGATGCACATTTAGTTCGCTAGTGTGTGTTTACAGAACAGTGTATGAGGAATCAACTTAAAAATATACTACAATTGCCTTCCTTATGGTACAGTATGAAGGAACATGTCATCCAGTGCCAACATTTGGCTGACTATAGTTTATAAAATAGTTTTTGGTTTGACAATTATGGAACAGTTCTTGTTTTTTCACTGGATTACTTTACAATAACAATAACGTTGAAGAACTTTTCATGTCATTCTCTCCATTCTTGCCCAAACGTGTGTCTCATGTCATACTTGAAGTGACCACAAACACCTTTATACAGTTCTCAGGTTGTTCTTCTCTCAAACATCAAAGTAACTGTAGTTTATTTTCCCTCAGGCAGGTGTCGTCAAGTAGGTTAACATCTGCCTTGTTCTCCTGTCCGCTCTGCCTCAGACCTTTTATGTTTACCACTCTACCAATTTGGGCCTAAAGCCAAGTGGGCCCGATAGAGACACAGAAAAAGACAGGGAAAACAGGTAGAGATACCTCAGTGAACTTATTTACCCTCTATTGAACAAATAGACATGGAAACTGGCTCGACAGCCTCTGACCGGTTAATGCTTTCTTCTTAAATTCGCCTTTATTCCATTAATACCCTAGAAAATTCAAGAGAGGACTGTAACACTACTAAATGGAAGTGTTTACTTTCTGTTCATTTTATTGTACCTGAAAACCGAATGGATTTTTACGTAAACTGGTAAAGATCAAATAGTTTCATTATGTCTTTACCTCTTATGTGTCACACCGAAAAAATAACTTCATATCCATAGTGCCTTAGGCTCTGAGTCAGCCAATTGAATTAAAGGAAACAAACTAATACAACAGTCAGCACTCTCAGGAACAATAAACTACTAATCATCTAGGAATAGAAAAATAACCTGCGTTTGATGGGCCTGGAGGCAAACTGTGTGTGTGTGTAAGCTGCATTGAGTACAGTATGTAACTCCAGAGAGCATTAAACCACACTCTCCAGGTTGGAGCAGAACCCACTATGGGCCGGCTGAATGAAAACGATATCTAAACGTCAGTGGGTGGTCGAGGAATGATGAAACGTGATGAAACAACACTGCCGGCTGCCCGTTGCCATTTTGCGATTGTTACTTTTTATTATTTCCTCCTGGATATTGATTTTTTTTCCTCTCTGTTGAACTCTTGGGGCCAGCGAACAGGCCTCTGCTGCTTCCTGTCAACAGTATTTCACAGAGGACGCACCCGTACACACAGCGTACACACCCACAGTCACACACAAAAATACTCTGAAAACACACACACACATCTCAAATGCTTTGTTTGAGCAGAAAAAAGAGTCATGTCCATTTGTTTTCTCATTTTGCATCAATAAAGCTAACAAACAGTATAGATACATAGATAGATAGATAGATACATTATTCATCCCAAATTGGGAAGTTATTTTGTCACAGGAGCAGTGTTGTCAAGTATTACACATGAGTGAAAAGTATTTAAAGATAGAATAAGATGCAAATATAATAAAACAATACATTAACAGCAAATATAAACATACTATTGTAATAAAAATATCCAGAATAAGACTGCAACACACTTTATTACAACGCAGAAAAAGCTAGAAAGTCAAACTTGTGATACGATTTTCCCGCCAAACAACTGCGTGTAACTTTAAGAATGAACTTACTGTGTTGTTTTAGAAATCAATGGAAACTTTGCGATAGTTGAACACTTGCAGTCTGTACTGTGATTCCGCTGCGAGTTAGACTTAAAGTCCTAAATAACAACTCATATGTGGTCTTCACTTTTTCGTCCTTCCATGACAGCCACCTGCCTCGACCTTGACAACAATCCCCCTGAAATAATTACACAAAGCTGAAGCCTTTGGTGGCCTGCAGAGCTGCTCCCTGCTGCTGCACAGCATGACACCGCACTGTGTCCTTGTTTGTTGTTCTTTTTTATGTGCACTTGTTTTTGGCATGTGTGCCCCTTGTTTTCCAGTGTCAGCGTCATTTTGAAGAAGTAGCAAACAGTATAGATATCTTAAAAAACAAATGCTGGATTGGGCTTTCACATGTCAGCCATTGGTGCTACATGAGTTGCAGAATCTAAAACGGTGAAAGTGTTTGTGTATGTTTTGCATTTTTGCACATGGAAGCATTTGCATGAGCCTAAGGAGGGTGTTTATATTTGTATTCTCAACCCGAGGGTTAGAAAATGACCTGTCTCCTGCCATTATATCCTCGGTAACCAGAAGTGACGGGATAATTGTGAAATCTATTTAAAAGAATTGTAGCATCCCTCTCTTTCTCTCACTCTCTTTCTCCCCCTCTCTCTATCCCTCACCCCATGCCTCTCTCAGTTTTCAGGTCATAACTAGATCTTCCTCTTCACTCTCGCTCCGCTCACAGTCTATTTTCTCAGGTGATTCTGTTGTTGCTCTTGTTTTCTCATTCCTTCCCTTCCTTCATATCCCTCCAGTCTCACGTTTCTTGTTCTCTTTTCACGTGCCACACTTTTCTTTTTTCTCTCTCTCTCTTGCTAAGTGTGTTTATACAAAAACCCAGCATCAGATCGATCCTGTATTCGATAACACCCAACGTGTTACAGTTTAGCCTGGAAACAGTGATGGACGATTTCTGTTCACATTATACTTTCCACGTTTTGACATTTAGTTTTCTCCTCTCACACAATCCCTTTTCTCTCTTTCACAAACAGTGGCGTCCGTTCCTCCCTGGTCTGAAATATGAAGTGATCGACTCGGCCTACATCTCCCTGTATACAGGTAAGAGCTGTTCTGTTCTGCTGCTCTAATGACACAGTGAATTGTTCTCATACTGTCTTGGAAATGAAATAAACTGGATGATGAATTTGTAAATAACAGATATTTGTGGCATTGATACACATGGGACTCTTTGTCTTTTCTATTTCTAGTCCTTTTGTTTAGCCTAGTTCCCAGAAATAGAAACAGCAACTGATGCTATTAAAAAAAATGCATCTATTCTGGTATTCAACCATAAACATTTGCCTTTTTGATCAAATATGTTAATCTGCCTTCCCGTCAAACAAACCCACATTTATTGCCAGTTGTCCTTATTTTATATTTAGTTATTTCTCAGCTGCATATTTGAGGTCATGCCGTGTCTACTCTACTGTATGTAGGACCAAAGAGAAGATACAGAATCTATTGGATGCTCTATTTATTCTCTATAGGAGCAGAGATGAGAGCTCCCGGGTAGATGTCTAACCTCTATAGCTCCAAAAATAGCAAGTATTTTTAACAAGGGGAAATACCAGCTGCACACAGAATGATGTGTGGAGTTGTCATTTTGGGAAAGCAGGTTGCTAGGGATGTATGCCTTCTTGTTTATGACCGGCTACGACAGTGAAGAAGGAGGCCTTGTACTGAATATGAGGTCACCTGCTGGCTTCAAACATTACCATCTCCTCATCTGTCCCCCTCCCTCCACCCATCCATCACTGCTCCTCCATTTATGCCATGCCCTCTATCTTACCCGGTTTCTCCATTCTCTCACTGTGGAAAGTGTTTAATATTCATTCCCATTTGACACAGAGAAACATTTGTAAGCTCACCCAGCTATACTTGTCCTTTGCATTACTTAGTTTAATTAAATGTCAGATTGGATTTCAATTAACGTCATTGTGTGTTAGGCAGTCGTAACATTTAATAGGAACATTCTCAAACTATGAGCCTCAATCACAGAGTTGTGGTCAGAGGCAAATACATGGGTGACTCAGCAACCAGTGTCAGATTGTCTACATTTGGGACATATTTTGACATGAGAAGTAAATAAGTAATCATAAAGTATGTTTTTCAGCTCATATCCAGTCTGTAGGAAACCAAGAATACAATGTTGTATTTGTAAGTTAATTTTTCTACTATCCAGGTAACTTATCTTATAAGTGAGTATTGAATATTTCCACACATGGTATCTCATCTGGAAATATTTCTCAACATCCATCTTTGTTGCAAAGCTCCCACTGAACTAAAGTAGTTTTACTGTGTGTTATCGATTTTTTTTCAAATGAAATAGTCATTTATGTCAGGATAATTGTTCCTGCTATATTATCTTAATTTGCAGGGCAGCTCAGTATCCACAACAATTCCTTGTGGTTTCTAAATCCCCTTTAGTGGTGCGATAATACTTTTTTACTACAGAATCAGTAGCCGTGTACATAAAAGCGCCACCCAGATGGTAGCCGTTAATGAATTTACACCATCACACATGCATACGCATTTGCTACACAGACCAGGAATTTCAAATAATCACAACACCGTTAACGGGTGCTAAATGTGCGTGGTATTACCATCTGAATGAGGTTTATGCCATACAGAAATAATGTTGATTCTTCTTTTATTACACCCCGATGACATCTGCAACAGGATGGAAATAAATCAAGAGTTATGTTGTTTCCTTTGTTTGTTTGCTTCTTTTGAGTATTTCCGTAACATAGATAATGAATTACAGCTGGCTTGGGTGAAGTGTAAAGCATGTATCATATGTGAGATCAACAGATGTTTTATTGTTAGAAGAAAGGGCGTCTAAAAAGAAGCTTTCTCTGTGTGGCGTTCACACACCCAATGTGCGCCCTCCACCCTCTGGAGGATGAAAATGATGCTGACCACCCCTAATTATGAAGCATTTCTCCCATCAGGCCTTGCTCCTGACATGCCATTAATCACAGATGCGCTCTCCTCCTCTCGTGCTATCGATTTGGTATAATTATGACTCTGCTTTGCTCTGTATTTGTTTTGTTTTTTCCAACTCTGTTTCTGAGCCTCTCACGTTCCACCTCCTCTTCTTCCGGTTTTTCTCTCCTCTCTGCCATTCATTTGTCTTTTTTGTCACTTTTCATGGTGGGTATCGATTTGTGATGATGCAAATCAAATGTGTCATAAAGATAATCCAAACAGTGAGTGAAATACTGATCTTCCTCTTTCCATCTTCTACATCATCTATAACTCAGTCTTTCCCTCTTTTTCTGTATTTTTCAGATGAATCCAATCTGAAGATGAACGCCGTGGACCACATCCCTCAGACCTTGGCCAGTCACATCCGTCTCCCGGAGGAGTTTCACCCCCAGGCTCTGGAGGGAGGGGGTGTCCTGCAGCACGGAGCGGATATGCTGAAGCCGGACCCCAGGGACACCTTCTATAGCAGTAAATCTGCCACTCATCCTCCCCTTCTTTCTGTCTTCATCCGGATCTTATGGCCTGTCATTTTCCTGTGACTGATTGACTGTCTGGCTCTCAGTCTCTCTGGCTGTCAGTTCGACTGTATTATTCAGACTGTCAGTCCTTCTGGCGTGCTGTTTTACATTTGATGTGTTTCCCTGGTTTTGACATTGCCCTGATCATCTCCCAGCTTTCTTTATTTCATATTTATTTAAAGCAGAATACCTATTTGTGTACCTGATCTTACATTTTCTCCTCAGTTCCTATGATCGACCCCTCCCGACTGGAAAACGTTCTTCCGGCCTGTCTCTACTCTCCAACCTACGTAGTCAAAGATTTCCCCATCGCCAGATACCAGGGCCTGCAGTTTGTAAGTCTCCTTCCCTCTTCTTTGGAATAATAGATATTTATAAAGACATTTCATGTGTTTTTGTGTGTATGTGTGTGTGAGAGTTCTAAATAAAAGTAGATCTATAGACTTGTCAAAAGTGCCTCCGATTATGAAATAAGTTCAAACCTGAGTCAGCATAATATTCATATGAACTGGACAGAGGGCATGCTGGTTTGTACATCACCACTGTCCAAACCAACACATTGATGAAGCATGTGGTAGGCAGTGTTGCCCCCTTTAGGCTGTTGTGTGTTACTGCAGCACTAAAATGCCTCAAATCCAATTTCAATTTGACAGAAATCACTGTAACAAAATACAGCTTTTAGAAGAGTGAAAAGCGGACTTTGCTTAAAATGCTGCTTTGAATCTAATCCCTTCGAGTATTGCTAACTGAACTCCCTCTATCGGCGTTTTCCCAGGGGCTTATTGCTTTTTTGGTTTTGACATTGAACTTCTTCCACAGGTCTATCTGTCCTTCGTTTACCCAAATGACTTCACACGTCTCACCCACATGGAGCGAGAGAACAAGTGCTTCTACAGAGAGTCCCCTATCTACTTAGAGAAGTAAGGACATTATTGCTTATATCTCTCCAAGTGCTGAGGGAATATTTGTCCCTGTCTTGTAAATATGAGAGAGTAGAATGATCATGCAGAATAACTGCTCAAGTGTGAATATGAAGGCAGTGATTCATGCGACCTCTCAATAGTAGATGAAGTTTATTATGCTGTAAGGCACATTGGAACTTCAACCTTTATTTAATATGTTATGTTGTGTGTGTTAATGAATGTGTGTTGCCTCCTCTAATGTCTGCCAGGTTTGGTTTCTACAAATATATGAAGATGGATGAGGAGGACGATGACAGGCCGTTCTTTTTCCCCAACCCAGATGGTAACTAATATTGAACACACTCTCTATCAGTCACACATTTATAAACACACCATTTCAAATTGGTTTCTCCTTCCTATCTCCAGATTTCCTAGACGAGGAGGAGGTGGTAGACTTCGAGGACGAGGCGGAGATTGTTGGCACTCAGCCGCCCAAGAAGCCCTCTCATCCCAGCCACACCTCCAACCCCTCACATCCTCACTCGAAGTCTGCGCCCACGCCAGCTGGGAGGGAAGGGGAAGAAGAGGAGGAGGACCCCGAGGAAGAGGAGGAGGGGGCAGTCAACAGTATCAAACGTCGCAGAGAGAGGAGACACTTTCCTCACAGAGAGGGACAGATGGCTAAAGATCTGGACTGGGGAAGAGATCATACAAACGGGAGACAGAACACCAGGAAGGGACTTGAAGAGCCCCAAACCAGGGGGCTTCAGCCCGACACGGACAGCGTGGTCCCGCCTCGCTCCTTGTCTTGGATCCGCACTGGTCCCGCAGAGCTGAATCCTGGCAGGAAAGGAGGAGGAGGAGGAACAGGTGGCGGGGGAGAGAAGGGAGCTGAGACCCTGCCCAAACTGAGCAAGTCTTCACTCCTCTTCCCCCAGAAGTCCTCCCTCTCTGCCCTTGCCAGCCGAGCCAAGCAGATCCGCAGCAACTCCGCCCACGGCAACAACCTCCACGACAACAACAACAACAAGGTCGGAGGGAATAAAAAGAGGGAGGAGAACAAGATCTACATCACCCGGCCTCGGCCTGCCAAGGAGCGGGAGAAGGATAGGGAGAGGGAGCAGCGTCGGGAGAGGAGGGAGGAAAGGAGGGAGGAGAGGGCATTGCGCCACCCTAGAGAGGTGTTCCCGGGGGTGTTTCTATACCAAACTGGGAAGACCACTAGGCTGATTAACCTGGGTGCTAAAGGACATGCTGGGGGAGGAGGCAAAAGTCTGGTTAGTGCCCCTCAGCTCTGGCCCAACCCCCCCACAAAAGAGGGTAAGACCTCTCCTCGCAATGGAAGCATCAACACTCAGAGTGAAAGTGTGCCGAAGTCTGGGGTCAAACAATCAGAGACAAGCAGGAGGAGAGGGGATCACGGGGGTTTACATACTACTGATGTACCCGACCAAAGGGACCCGCTGTCCCCGCATCGAGACCCCCCTCCTGTTACCCAGCAAAAGATAAACTCCACAGAGAACACGCTCCAAGAACAAACACGTGTCACCTCCTACCTCAGGACCTCAGAGATCACAGAGTCCCAGAAGCAGCCAGACCCCAACCCGGCAGAACTCCAGGATACAAACCGCTCTAATCCCGAGCCAGAACCGGAGGAGGGAGAGTTGTCGGACTACAGCTACGAGGAGGTGGAGCCGCGGCCAGGTTGGGCGGAGGAGAGCATCAACTGGCAGAGGACCTTCTCCGTCAACCCCATGGACTTCGAGCTGCTGCGCTCCGACTGGAACGACCTGCGCTGCAACGTGTCCGGCAACCTGCAGCTGGCCGAGAGCGAGGTGGTGGACGTGCTGGCGCAGTACATGGAGAAACTCAACGAACGCAATGGAGGGTGAGTACAGAAGGGAGGGAGGGAGAGTGATGTGAGACTACGAGAAGGTTTAAGTTTCCCCTGCAACCTCGTGTGAGTTAAAATGCGTTTCTGTTTGCTTATCATTATGTAAAGCAAGAAGTAATTTAGCTGAGAACATATTGGTTATGCCCCGGTGCTTTGACTTCACGTTAGCAGACCTCTATGTGCTCATTACCATTTGCTGCTGCAGTGCTTAAAAACCTCAATGTTGTTTGTGAAAAATAGCTCAGCCGCTTTTTTTCCTTTAAAAATATACCATGCTGACTTGCCTCCAACTAACTATGGATAATCACATTTTCTATGTGGTTTTCCCTCAATTAAGCAGAAGTAATCTAGTTTTGCTAAATATATAAGTAATAGTGTTTTATACAGTAGATGCATCCTCTCCCTTTTGCTGCATATCATACCCTGTACCAGCTACAGTATGTGTGTTTTTTAAAGGGGGGTCCTTATAAGGTTTATACTTTTTTACTACAATGTGTGAACATGCTTTAAGGTTAACACGTTTTTTTTCTTATACTGTTTGTCTTGACTTTTTCTTTGAGCCCCCCTCCCCAAAAAACTCTGCCCTGATTGGTCAGTGTTTTGAGAGTTTTAATACAGTATTTATAAAACTCCTACACTGGCTTTATAAACAAACCAAAGATGATTATTTTTACAATATGGGATCTTTTTACCCCCTGCCCCAGGATCTACACCCTGCTGCGAATCGTTAACGTTGAGAAGCGGCGCGACTCTGCGAGAGGGAACCGCTACCTGGTGGAGCTGGAGCTGATGGAGCGAGGCCGCAGCGTGGTGCGTCTATCCGAGTACATCTACCTGCTGCTCCACCGCAGCAGGATGGGGGAGGAGAGCATAGAGAACACTGACTTTGCCCCGGCCTCACCAGCTCTGTCCCCAGCTTCGGTCCCATCCCCTGCCACATCCAGCCTGACCACACCACCACCCCCCCCTCCCTCAGCCAGATCTCCCGCCCGGCCCGGAGCGACACCCTGGAGCACCGCCTACGCTAAGCCTCTGCTCTGCCAGCCTGTCATGCTGCAGTGGAGGAGAGATGTCATGGTGCATTTTGTGGTGCCAGGTCAGTCAAAAGGCGGACTTCGGTCAACTTCCAAAACGGAGAAAACTGTCTAGAAGTAACTTTTAAACCAAGATTATTCATGCTTTATCTACTTTGTGTTTCCTTCTTACTGTCTTTCAGTGAAAAACCAGGCCCGCTGGGTACAGCAGTTCATATCTGACATGGAGAATCTTCATCGCCAAACAAAGGATGACAATTTCAGCATCATCATCGTCGATTTTGAGAGTGAAGACATGGACGTGGAGCAGGCACTGAGAGACAGCAGTGTGCCAAGGTGTGTGTGTGTGTGTGTGTGTGTGTGTGTGTGTGTGTGTGTGTGTGTGTGTGTGTGTGTGTGTGTGTGTGTGTGTGTGTGTGCGTGCGTGCGTGCGTGCGTGCGTGCGTGCGTGCGTGCGTGCGTGCGTGCGTGCGTCACAATCAGCTGTGTAAAAGGTACCATATTTCTTACAATTTTCAAGGCATCACCTGATGCGTGTGTATTTCTGTTACAACAGATATGAGTATCTGAGGAGAGAGGGGAACTTTGAGCGCTCGGCAGGACTGCAGATCGGAGTGGACACTATCGAGGTTAGAGACACAAACACAAGAGACAGCAATATGCGAGCTGGCAGGAAAAAGCCACACTGAAGGTCAGCCACTCACACTGACCACATGACCTTTACTGATGGACAGACAGAAAGAACACTCGTGCATAATGAGTACATCACTGCCACGGCGGTCTGTCACAGGCTGTGGATCTCACCCTTTACCTCCCCCTGCTCCGTTCGCCCTCTCACACTGAGCCCGGCCGTGGGTGACAGGGAGCCGCTTAAGCAGTTAGCTACAATTCCTGTGTCATCTGTATGTGTGTGTGTGTGTGTGTGTGGGCTGTCTCTCTGTCACTCACGCATGCACACCCACCCACAGGGGGCATGGAGCGGCTGGAAATGTGGACAGACTTTGAGCCGTCAGTTGAGTGTCAGTGCTGTCACGGTGGGATGACATGGCCGTCACTCATGTCTGAATGACCCGCAGGCTTTGGGAGCGAAGAGAAGCCTCTGATGCCCAGACTTCTCTACTTTCTTTAATCCTAAAACCCCTTGTGTGAACATCCACAGAATCATAAAGCAGACACACTTTTATTTCTCCCTTTTGACGTAATTGTTTTTAATTTAGATGTATGTGTCACGTTTGTGTGTTTTTTTTTTCTTCTTGCAGGATAGTCATAGCATTGTATTCCTTTGTGATCTGCACATCCACTTCCCTCTCAACATCTTGGAGAGCATCAGGAAGCACTGTGTGGAGGGACGCCTCGCTTTCGCTCCCGTCGTCATGAGACTCAGCTGCGGCAGTTCGCCACGGGAGCCCGATGGTAACGAACACATTACATGCATACATGCTCATACAGGAATGATCTCACTCACGTATTTACACAGTTTTCCAGTCTTTAAGTTTGACCCGTCACTCAAACTAATTCCCCAGTTCCATACAGCAGCTTTGAACTCATAATTTATGAAAAATTCATAATTTATGAAAAATGAATTCAGATTTCAATTAGCATGCGTAATTTCTAAAGGCTGTTACATCACGAGAGGCTGTTATTGCAATGGGACCAATATTTCCTTTTAAATTTCTTTTTGTTCTTTCTGTAGGGTACTGGGAGGTGAACGGCTTCGGCTTGTTTGGAATCTATAAGACTGACTTTGATAAGATCGGAGGGATGAACACGGAGGAATTCAAAGACCGCTGGGGGGGAGAGGACTGGGAGCTGCTTGACAGGTAAACCAGCAACAAGCTAAGACATTCCTGCTGCCATCGCTGTGTTTGTTTATGAGCTATGGCGACCTGGGACAATTACGTAACGTGACATAATTTGTCTTGTTTTGCTTGTTTAGCGTCCATGACCCATTTCTCGCTGATATCGACCCTTATCCGACCCACCTCTCGACCTGGGTTACAAAGTCATGTCGGTCAACAGTGGTTAACCTTTTCAAACACAAAACCAATGCTGGTTGAGCCTTCAGTGTGAAAAGGGTATCAGAAGGTTAATGAGTCCGTTTTAGTTTAGACTTTGTTGGAGAAATGTCAACTCTATGGTAACGATAAAATTGGAGTTAACACATGATATGCTTTTCAATGGTAGTTGTATTCAGATTGCATCTTTTTTCTTGGATTGTCAATGTTGTAGCATAATGTTGTAGCATAATGTATATGGTACATGACCTTTAAACATTGAAGGTGTAAAGTGTGCACAATGCCAATAGGGTGCAAGTGCAGGAAAAAACCGCATTTGAAGGAAAAACATTGACAGTCTGCACAGTGGATGTTGCCAGCTCCCAGTGTTGAATGTTCAGTGTGTGAAAATGCTTCTTTAGTGAACATCAAGAAAGGGCTGCTGCAATTAAAACTAACGAGAGATCTTTGGTAATCGAAGCAGCCGGATGGATAATTGAGCATATTCAACTAAAACGATCTGCATGTTTAGATACCACCCAGATGTAGGTTGGCTAAACTGACACAAAACAAATAAATGAAGGTCTGTTACATTAAAGCCCTTGCCAAACGAGTTCACACAATGTTGATTATGCCTATCGCAGCCAGGGAAAGTTCTGTGTATTTGGCACTTTACAGGAATTTGGGTGTCTGGCATCTTTGGCAACTTTTCTGCACTGGTGTATGTATGCCTGCAGATGACCAAATGCAAATGTTTCGACTTTAATCCTTCCTCTGAAAGCTAAACTTATTTTCTCATCTTGAGCATCAACGTCAGAAACATACTTAAAAACGCCAGACTTTGAACTTCTGATAAAAGAAAAAAAAATTTGATCAGCCTATTTTAGACAGCCACTGATCGTCAGTAAGTTACACATGACCTAGAAACAGTTGCAATGATTAACACAATTATTTCTGCTGATGAATATAAGCCCAGTTTTAACCCAGTGATTTTCCCTCCTGCCTTTTCTAGGGTACTGCAGAATGGTTTGGAGGTAGAGAGACTACGCTTAAGAAACTTCTTTCACTACTACCACTCCAAACGAGGCATGTGGAACACTCAAAACAAGAAAACTCCTAAGGGATAGCTCCCCCTGCTGGTTGGAGGATACTAAAACTACCTGCAGATCCACTGTGTGTGAGAGAGAGACCTGTAGGAGCTCACTCACTGCCTGAACTCTGCCTTTATTTACAGGCTCCTGTCAGGGACACCTCTGTTTGCTATCGGCCCCTCTTGTACGCTTGTGGGTATGAAGACAGAGTCCAAATCTGAACTTAACAAGTGAACTGTTTACGCAGACAGACCTGAGTCATCACTTTGCCTCACTGACTCAACTACTGTACTAGAGAGTTGTTTTTGTTCTCCCTCTCTCTGTCCTTCTTTTGGTGCAATGTTTTCAGACAGATTGGAAAGCAGCTGTTTCTGTGTATGTGTGGTTGTGTGTATGCGTGGGTATGTACATATATAAGTGTGTGTGGGTGTGTTGCCGCTTGTGTGTGCTTACGATGACAGAAAGCACCTTTTTTTCTAACAAGAAGATGTGAAGACAGCCTAAGATCTTTTTTCTAACACGCTCTCACCTGAGAGCCTAATAGAATGTGTATCAACATGTTATTCAGATAGATTGAGACATGATGGCATAGATCGAGTAGAGCAACTCTGAATTTCTAAATACATCAAATACTACCTGTTGGTTATCAATGACCAGTATGTCCGACGTGCTGATATTCTCCTGATAACATGACATTATGAATAATTGAAAGTTTTTGAAACAGTAATGCCCTTTTCCACAAAGATACTGAAAGATATGTCATCTTTATATCTCTCTCTTTCCCTCTCTCTCCCTCTGTATCTTTTATAGCCTTCAGTCCATTTCTGCCTTTGTCTGTTGTAATGTCATGCAATTTCATTTTTGTTTTTATTGAAACATTGCTCCACCCATATTAATGGTAGCTATCAGCTATGGCTTCATTCATTTTTGTTTTACTGTTTGCTATTTAAACGTTTTGAGTGTCCTCACTGAGTACGAATGCACAAATATTTGGGGTGCTTTTTTATTTTCTTAAACACTGAATTTGTGAACAGTTTACAACGTTTAACTTACAATATCCTCTATTCCCTCCACATCTCTTATGTATTTGTATCATCAACTGGAACAGACAACTCTTACATGAGGGAAGGAGAAGACAACAACGTCTTTCTGACATTTTATTTAATGTTGTCACATTTTATTAGGCATTTTCCGAGCTTAGAGTGTCATTTCAAATATTGGATTTGTGGGATCTCTACCACCAAGACAGGAAATGCTTAGCTATCGAAAAACATCAACACTCTTCTTTTTCGACTTGCACAAAGCTCGAACAGAAGGGAGACCAGTTAATGTGTCGTGGCAAGGCATGGCTGTTTCACAAATGTGTGCCTTTATCAGGGTTTGGCTGCAGGCAGTTTTTAAACTATTCTAATGACAGAGGAGGGCAAGGGACAGACAACAAATCACAGTTATTTATCAGCAGGCTGTAATGTCACTGTACATCCAGCTACATTGTAAGACGGATACAGTTCTCTTCAATGGATTACAGAGGTGTCAGTGTGTCCGTTATACTACTAGAAAGGAGTGGTTTAAAGCCACTTGCCCCATTGGTGAGATACACGAAGATGGTTCTAATGACTACTGAGTGAAATAGGGAGGTGTGATGGAGACTCACAGTCAGCTGCAGTACAGCCGGACTCCACCTGCTCCCATTAGTTTGGCTGGAGGCCGTGCTCCTAATGCCTCTGTTTATGCAACATGGTACTTATATTGATGGGGAGTGGCTGGAAGGCTTAGACTGGACATATATGTGGATGAGATGTAATGATCTGTTATTGACTATATGATTGTCAAAATGCCATCCATGACCCTTTCTTTGCCTCTACAGGAAAAAAGGTCTTCACTGTAGGCCAATTTATACTGATATGGGACTATTTAAAGAACAAAAGAAACACATTAAATATAAGAGTAAATATATAACAAACGTAAAAATGAAAAATAGGAATATACATTCCAAGGTAATTTCTGTGAAATTGTTTTGTAGAGAAAAGGTTTTAAGAATGTATTGTACTTTTTTTTGATTTGTTGTTTTTTTTGCAAATAAACTTTTATGCTTACGTCCATATCATTTGTTCAGATGCATATTTTCTTTGTATCTTTTCTGTGAGACAATTGTAAAATATATAATTCAAAACAACTCTATTTCCTATTTTACCACCAGGGGTTGCTCCACACATACATTCTATTTAACCCACAGGCATACAGTGGTTGCATGACTTCAAGTTCAAAGACATGAAAATTAAGAATAAATTGACATAGTTTCAGCAGGAAATGGGTAGGAGAAAAGACGTCATAGAATGAGTAGATAGACGAACCTTTTCGTGAAGTATGAAAAATCCCCCTCCTACACACTCGCACACAAACAGAAGACTGTCTCGGATCACTTCCTTTATGCAAAAAGTAAAAAAAAAAAATCTTAAGCTCATTCCAGTAAGGGGACATGAAGTGTGTTATAATTTGTATTTCCGGCAAAGGATTGTTACAAGGTCAATGGTTTTGTAAAAGGTAGGAAGTGACTGTGGATCAAACAACAACTAATGGCCTTTTAATTTATTTTGTAATTAAATACGTATATTCAGCTAGATTATGAAATGTTCAAATTCATGACTTGAAACACATTTGGCCATGATTCAAACAAGCCCTGATCAGTTAGAATTAATAGATACATGTACAAAGTAAATATGACATGTTAAAAGACTGTGCAACCCTGACTGTGTGTACTCTAGGACTGACATCGCTTTATTAAGTTACCATTCTGAGCTAAATGCATCGATTGTTTTTTATGACCTTCACAAAGAAAAATAAACATTAGGAAACATTTTGAACTCCAACAGAGCTGTAATGTTTCCAGGGCCAAATGTAATCAATTGCAGAGTTTTTTTGCTTTTCTTTTGAGTTGTTGATCCCCCCTGTGCGCCACTTTGCTCTGGGTGGGGGTCTGCCCTGCACGCACACAGAAACCATGAGGTAAGCAATGCCCACACCAAAGCTCCATGAGGTCTGGATGAGGCAAGTGCTAACTTTCTGTGATCTCCTCTACGCCCTGTGTGTCTTCTAAACTAATTTGGAGGAGTTTGACTAAGAGCGCAAATCTTTGGAGGTTTAATGGACTGAAAGGTTATCTCCCTCCACAGATCCCCTGACTGAATGATTCATAGACCATGGTGATGGTGTGTGAGAATCACTTTTTCACTTTAAAATGTATCTTTAAAAGTACATACCAATATGTCCTATAACATGTCACATATCTATATATGTACAAGACACAGTGCACTTTCACAATGTGTTGCAGTAGTGTGACTGTTTAACCACAAACTCATTATGTAAACGTTTCGGATTCTCTCCCAGTGGAGGCCCGCCCACTACCTGTCTAAGTGAGTGATAAGAAGCAGGTACTCACAGCCCTCTTCAAACAAGTTTGCTTTATTGATCTCAAGCAGGTTACAGCACCTAACCAAACAAACTGCTTCAAACTGAAGTTTCGTAAGAGCATTTACAAGTTGTTTTGAAAGCAAGATCTGACACATGTTTTGAAATGATCTCTATAAACCGCAATGAATTAGCACAGAGTATGGACTGTGTATGAAACATATAAGCAGTACACAGTTTCCAAATTATTATTTTTTAAAAATAAGTAAAATGGTAATCGTTTTTTAAACTGTTACAACACACATGTCTCCATTATAATCCCAAATAAGATTTGGAAATGCACTTTCAGTGAAATCCTTAAGCTTAATTAAATAAAAGTAAACAACCCACCTCTTGCAATATTACCAAGAGCTTTAGAGATTTAATTTATGTAATAGGGTACAGGTGAGAGATGAGCTCATGTCCAGGGTCAACAGAGTATAACATTGAAGTTTGGTTCAAGTGACTACAATAAAGAATTGCCCCAGACCCATTAGTATAATAACGTTTAGGGAAAATCTAGCCACGGATTTATTCAGTCATATATTACTGAAATGTGTTGACTAAACATTCATATGTGTGGTTGAAATTGTTATTATACGATACAAATAAAGACTGAAACCGTGGTAAACATAGTTAAAAGTTTTGTTAAAAGGATTTTGAGTGAATGTGAAGAAAAGTGTGTATATAGCAAATATAGCCATTTGTAGTTCACACATCTTGAGGGAATTTGTGCTTATCTGAGGCAAAACTAATGTACTTATTCTCCAAAATAAAGGAAACATTTGGAGCGAGTCCTGATTGGCTGCCCGCAGAAATCGTCCCTCTCCTGATTGGTACTTGAGCTGCTTCCGTGTTGTCATTCAGCAGCGGACCCTCCTTTCACACATCTGTAGAGTGTATCCAACAGCCTGTTCCTGACAGAGCACCGTCCGGGACGGGAGTGGGATGAGCTAGTTTCGGACTTTTCCACGGTTATCTACGAAAACGACACAGTTTCGGTCTGCTGGTCAACAATACGGGATATATTGTAACAAATTAACTCAGGTCTGGCTGTTTTCGGAGAGCTGGGAGACACTCCGTCGTATTTTAAAGAGTTTGGATACTGGAGGAAAGTTTAAATCCCTGCGCTGCCCGGGGGAAAGGTGAGACGGGTGCGACTTTAACTTCCCCGGCTTACTCATTTGATAATAACAACAACATATTAGCTATCGAGCAGCATTTTACCAGCGTGTGCAGTTGTGTCATTTCTCTATCCTGCACTGAATTATGTTTAGCAGCATGTCAGTCAACGGTGCCGCTGTGTAACCAGTTCTTCCAGCTCTGCGGGGAGTTTCGACTGCTGCTTGACTAACTTCAGGTAAACCGCTCACCAGGTTTGCCGCTTTGCTTCAAAACCCTTGTTCAAACAGTTTCACAATAATGGCTGGTTTGAGCAATGCCCACATGAAAACCCTGGAGGACCTCACCCTGGACTCTGGCTATGGGGCGGGGGACTCGTGTAAATCCCTCAGCCTGTCCTCCTCCAAGTCCAACTCTCAGGCCTTTATGACGATCCCTCATCGGGGAAACTGGTGGTACTACTCCGGCTCTATGAACAGCAGGAACAACAGCTGGGACACGGTCAACACGGTCCTCCCCGAAGACCCGGAGGACATATTCTCAAAGTGTCCCCGCTTACCTGAGTTGGAAGAGTTCCCCTGGACCGAAGATGAGGTGGCTAAGATACTTCGCAAAGTGGCCGGGAGTGGGGGCATTAAAGGCGGACCCACACCTGTGTTCTCCCCGGAGGCCGTGCGACGGCTGTCCGCTCTCCTCCGCCGGGCTCTCATCCGCATCTCCAGAGAGGCTCAGCGGCTCAGTGTCATGCACTGCCGTTGCACGCGCTTCGAGGTGCAGAGTGCCATGAGGCTGGTGCTCAGCTGGGCCCTGGCCGACCACTGCGTTTCCGCTACGGTCAAGGCCATCTCCATGTATAGCATGAGCGCCGGGGAGCTGCTGAGAAAGGGCAAGTCGGCCCGCTGCGGCCTCTCCTTCTCCGTGGGGCGCTTCTTCCGCTGGATGGTGGACACACGCATCTCCGTGCGCATCCACGAGTACGCAGCGATATGCCTGACCGCATGCATGGAAGCCCTGGTGGAGGAGATAGGAGCCCGGGTGCTGATGGCCGAGAGGGGTCACCCAGGGCCGGATTCGGAGTCATCATGCTACCCGGTGAGCGCAGAGGCCCTGGAGGGGGTGGTGAACAATGACGCGGAGCTTTGGGGAGTCCTGCAGCATTATGAGCACCTGATCTGCGGGAAGAACGCCAATGGTAAATACTTTTACAGATGTATTTGATTCAGTGCACTTATTTCAATATAATGTCCAGATTTTCAGTGTGAAAATGTATCCAAATGTCAGCTTTCAATATGTTTTGCTGTGTGGTGATGGGGTGATGGGGATGTCAAACTTCACCCAAAAAGTTTTTCATTTTCTGTAACACACCCTTCTTTAATGCTGGTTAACACTTTCCACTCCCTCAGAGTTTGGAAAAGGTGAAGTGTGTTCTGCAGCTGGATACAATAGCAGCTCTTTGTGCATGAGGGTTGGATGAAGTTGTTGCTAATTTGATCTGTCAGAATAGCGAAAAACAGAACATACAAACAAAGAAGGTATTTCAATGTCGTAACAGGAGAAATGACTGCTGGATTCCACATCTGATTTTAACGACTTCCCTCTCATTGGTCAGTTGGATATTGAGCCTTCACATGTCACTCTTGTGCTGTGGTGATTTGGGGGCGCAGAGAGCCTTTACAGCACAGGCGGGAGGCTTGTCTGTTGACACAGCTCTCCGTTTACGCTGACTTCACCTCTCATCCTCCTGCTGTGTTGGCTGCACTCCTTTCAAATCCTCCCTTTCTTCCATTTCCTCATCTCGGTCACCTCCTCTTGGACAAACCCCTTCACCCACCACAATCTCCACATATCTTCCACCTCTTTCCCTCACATCTCCAGCTGTGCATCCTGCTCCTTGTCCATTTGTTTACTCCACCCTCACATCCATCCTCAATCAACTCTCTTTCACTTCCCTATTTCTCAAACCCATAGCGCTCCTTCTGTAGCTGTCTTTGGCAGCCCAGTGTAGAGTTGATTCATGAGCTTGTGTTCGGACATTGTAACCAGCCTTTGTTTGTGGCCCACTACCAGCTCCTCGGAGCAGAGCTTTTCTCTTCAGCACAATGGCCTTTTGTTGTGTGATCGTGCAGCTTAGCTCAACACAGAGGGAGGAAAAACAAACGCTGTGCAATCTGGGCATACACACCCAAGGACATATACATTACAGAGAGAGAGAAAATAACTGGAGATAATCATTATGACAGGGCCCTGTGGTTCTAAATTAAGACATTATCATGCAGGAGCACCTTTGCTTGCCATGCTTGCACATACTGTACCGAGAGTAATGCTGTTAACTGTGCCAACTTCCTACAGGTCTAAGATCGATCCAGCACTGAAAACACAGTAATCGCACACACACACTCATTCACTGACAATTTACATTTCATATTGTGTGCAGAGTTGAATGGTTCATTCATAATGTGCACTCCACTGAAGTTAGCAAGTGTTCAGTTGAAGGCATTGCATTTGCTCGCCTTGTGCTTTAGTTGGAGCTATTTCATTGCAAATAAAGTTAAAGAGCAGCTTTTGTCCCAGTTTTTAACCGGACGTCTTTTGGTCGGGTTCTATTTTGGTGAGTTCGGTCATTGGTTTTGAGAAAGACCTGTGTGTGTGTGTGTGTGTGTGTGTGTGTGTGTGTGTGTGTGTGTGTGTGTGTGTGTGTGTGTGTGTGTGTGTACAACAGACTATTATTCTGACCACCCTAGCTTTTTATAGTTCTAAAACTGGGCTCTGCAAGCCACACACCCCTCTACCACCTTACCACCTGACACCCCACACCCTAAACCTACACCCCCCCTGCAGCTGAAGTCCCCTTCCCCCGCAGCCACCACCACCACCAGTGTCCACAAAAGCAAAGGTCCACGTTCCGCTCTTAAACCAGATGATCTCAAAAGGGGAGGGTAGACTCCTGATCATATGGAAGGGTATAGTCTGATAAATATGCCTCCCTCTTGATTCCTCTCTGACTCTGACTCTTTCTCAGGGGCTGGCCCACATCTGGAACTCTTTAAGTCAGAAATGACTTCTACGGCTCCAATAACAATTCTGAAAACTCCCTCCCTCTCCTGCCCTCTTTTGCTCACTCTCACTCTTGGCTCTCTCTTTTTTTGTCTTTGCGATTGCATTCACGTCCACTTCATCTTTATCTGTTTATTCCTTCTGGTCTACAGGGAGTGCATTAGAGGAACCCGGTTGTGATGTGCCAGGATCTTATTCATTACTCATTCACACACTTGCACAAGCACAATTACATACCCACACATTCACACACACTCATACCCTGGAACCTTTTTAGTCTGCTTTGTATGTGTTCAAATGGCTCCACAGCACTGGTCGAACCCACTGCACAGTGCAGCTATACAGACGAATCCATTTGTTATTCATTTCTCCTCAAAGGGAAATAGCACGAGCTTCCTGGTATCATTTGATGGTACTATGGGGCATGTTAAAGTGCAGAGTAGTAGCTTTACTAATGGACAGTGGAAGTGGCTATGAAGTGATTGCTTTTCATGACTGGCACAAAGTTGCCTGTTAAACTCTTGTCCGGATGGCTGAATAGTTTTCTAAGTGCAGGCCCATTTGAGTTTTTTTGTGGGACTTTTTTAAATGTTTCATGTGTTTCACACGTTCCTTTATTGAAAGCTAGTTTTGACTTTGAGCAACACTGTCTCAGCTCCATTCAAGCTCTCAGTGAAAGATGGTAGTAGTAAATGGCTGCTCTATGGCTCCAAACTGTACTATGTGAATTTAAAGCAGGCACCATCTGAAAGAGAGCATTCATGCTCAGCAAAGTTTACCTGGATAAACAAACTTTGATTTGGTCCAGTCCTGACCTAAAGCCAAATTCAGTTTCTCCATCTCTGTAAAAGAAGTCAAAAGGGCTGTGAGTAATGGGTTTGGGTGCATTGAGAGAGCAGGACGTATGATTTGCTGCTCACTATTTCTCGAAATATGTATTTAGCCCAGAAAGAGGCGTGGGAACAGAGGGCAGAAAGATGCAGGGAGAGCAGCCCAGCACTGTGGTCACACAGATGGGGAAACCAGCACTCTCAAAATACACTCCCTGCTCCACAAACCTGGATTGGGATCAAATACCGTTTTGGAAAACCAATCAGGACATTAATATTATGGTGAAATAGACTCAAGTTCACCCTCCTGTTAAAGGCGTGCTGCAAACTCGCTCAGGCATTACCACCAAGCCTGTGTTTAGCCCAAATGATTGTACAGATGCATTATATAACCTTGTGAACACCGACAGCAGTTCAGTGTTTTTTAAGTTAAGACCGTAAAGCTTTGTGGATAATAAGGTTGATCCGTCACAAAACGCTACACAAGTTTGTGTGTGTTGGGTGTACCCGCTTTAGGCTTCATAGTTCACACTGATGGTCCATGTCAGTGTTTGTGCTGGCTTCTAGTCTGGTACCAGCTGTTGAAACACTGAACCATTACAGTGCTGGTGTGCACATGTATTTCAATGTGTTCATCTGTGGGTGACTAAATGTGCTTGTGTGGGTATTGCAACTATTCTTGGCAATTTGTGAGTAATGCTCTCACAGATATGACACCACAGAGGATTTGTCAAGCTATTACAAAACCAACGACATGAATTCAGGAACCTCGTATCGATAATCGATTCCACATCCTTTGACACGGCTCATTTAGTTTGTCACATTAATAACAATCAAAGTCAAATAACCGTCCTAACAGATGGTATACGTCCCTTTGTGTAGCCGGTCTTTACTCACTCCTCTCCTTGGAAGTTCAGTTATTATTTTGATCTCAAGCCACGCTCCTCCTATCACATTACAGCATCATGAGTCATTCTCTTTCATAACTGTTTACAGTAAAGCACTGATAGGGAGGAAGTAACGAAATATGGGAATGACAGAAAAAGGGAAATGAACACAAATACAGAGACAAGGAAATAGTGGCCGCAAACCTGAAAGCATCTGCGCCTTGGCTTCTTGATTTATTCTTCCTAATCACATTCTTGTAGAGTAGTGGTTGAGTCTATCTAGAAATAACAGGAAAGTACACATTATTACTGAGCTCCTCTGGCTTGTTTGAATTGGAAAATGTGCAGCCAGTGTGTCACACGTGTTACCACAGAGTGCTGGCTAAGGTCCTCTGGGGAATCTGTCGTGCTCATTGGTTTGGGGTTGCAGCCGGAGTCCCTAATGAGGGAAGCAGAGCGCCTGGCTGGAAGGTGGCTGGAATCCTGGGCTCAGTGCACTGCCTGGATGCTAGCAATGGTTTTGTTGAAAGCAACCACTGGGCATCACATCATCTCTGTGGGTAGTCAGAGCCACATGCACCTGTGTTGGCATCTGGCTGGGTCATTATAGCATTGGAATCTGAATGTTAAGAGTTGTGGGTCAGAGGTTCAAAGTCAGTGGTAAGCATGCCAGTCTGAGCAGGTGTTTTCTTAATAGAAAACTCATGTAGTGACAAAAAAAAAGGAATTGTCAATATAATTTAAACGCTTCTTTTACCAATTGATTTGCTTTTTTTTGTATTAAGGTTGAAAGAGTCTGGGCCTAGGCACGTTTTACTCTTCTTAGTACAAACATTAATTGTGCGATGGTTTTCTTTTTTTCTTTCTTGCCCACTCAATGAGTAGCTATACTGTAGCAACATGAGCCAAAAACGGAAACAGGGGTTGGATTGTGACATTAACAATTCAACATTGAGTTAGACTTGTTTGAGACTGAGGTTGAGGTGCAAGATAAAAACGTCTATCTAACTCTGTTGTGAAGCATAAATACAATTGTTAAAGTAAACGTTTTCTCAAAGAACCGGTGGTGTTAGTACACCTAATGAATTGCACAAAAAGAGATATTGTCTTTCTGAAAATTCCTGTCTTACCTGACCTGACAGTCAACGTGTATATCTCAATATAACAAGTCTGACTTGAAATACAAAATTACCACACGTATAATAAGCTACTCTGTTACAGCAGTTATTGTACCAACCCCAGACATAAACCAAGTGCAGTCAGTCACCAAAAGAGATCTGTCGTGCTACAGAAAGACTGTTGGCGATTTTACAGCTACACCACTCACTTATTTAAAACAGACATGGTTTGATTAAGTGTTGCAGCATATGGTTTGTAAAGAAAAACACATATACAGTACTCCATTCAGTCGGTGTCAGTGGCAAATGCGTATCCTTTCCGCTTGCTTTTAAACATTTGTACAGAGCTCATAAAGAATAAACTCTTTGAGTCTCTATCAAACCACAAATCAGTTTCTCGGTTGTTCTGCTCCTTACCACTTAAAGATCAAAGACAGTCCTCCCAATTGTAATATCTAATAGGCATTGCCTGGCATGCATCAGTTTCTCTGCATGTGTGCTCTAGCACAAATGAATCCAGTTACTGACGTCGATACAGAACAGTTCTGAGGGGGATTTGGTCATACTATTTAATAACAGAATCAGATCAGATTGGCAGGGTGGGGGGGGAAGTGAAGAGAGAGAGCATGGAGGGGGATCAGAGGGTGTGTGGTTTGAGTGGAAACAGATTTGTCTGACCAGGGATTGGATATAATAACCCCTTGCTGTGTTCTCTGATGAAATCTGCTTGAGCCGTAGTTACTTATCTGGATGGAGTCATAGAGATATTTTGAGGAAGAAATGAAGCTATAATCCCACATGTCCTCTCTGATTGGGATCAGTGTAGCCAGTTTATGTACATGTGTATGTGTGCACTGCTGCACTGAGCATACAAAAGGACACAACTTCTTTTGGATGTTTTTCATGCTAGGAAAGCGATTTATTTTACTTTCAAGTCTTTACTGTTGTTTTTGCAAAGGGACTGAAAGAAGAAGCTTTTTGTGATGCCTTCAGTGACCTCTTTGTCCAGCGGAGTCAGAGCAGCAGTGTGTGAAGCCTGAATGACTAAGCTCCGATATATTGCACTGGAAAAGCAAACACAGCCGTCTGGAGACACACTGTTTTACACAGGCTTCTATATCCTCCTCTGGCCACATTTAGCTTTTTCACGCTTATGTACGGACGGATCTCATTGACATTCACAGAACACTTGCACATAAGATAAAGATAAAAGGAGAAAGATGCAGGCGCTTCACTTGATATCTTAGTTGACATACAGTAGGAACAAAAACAGAGTAAAACCCCTCTAACACTGATGCTTTCACCACAGGCAGACCCCTCCCACGTAAACAGAAGCAGACAAAGAAAAGAAGATGCTTTTCTTTATGACTTGCATGGCTACTAAGGTTGTGGGTGTACAGAGGTAAGCAAACAATGTGTCAGTGGACAAGGACTCTGGTAAGGACTTCCATGTCTGGTTCTCAACTGACTGCCTTCCAGTTCGGTTTTAGAGCCATTTTACTATAAAAAAAAAGCATCTCAGTCGGAATAAGTGAAGTACTTCATATTATACCTGCGGCTTACACTGTGAAATTAGGCCCAGCGTCACAGACCATCCTGTACAGGTTGAGCAACAGTTCACAGCTTGCATGCTGTTTGGAAACTGTTTCTCCAACACCCCAAACAGCCAGCCAATTTTCCAGGAGCAGAATTTGGAAAGAACGAAAGGGAAAGAAAGTGAAAAAGCACAAGAATAAGAATGGAAAAGAAACCGCAGCTTTTATGACAGGCGTGTTGGTGAGTGTGCCAGGTTCAGAACGTGTTGCAAAGTGCTCATTGCGACAGGTTAAAGGAGGTGTGTGCATGTGGGTGAGTTTAAGTGTGTTATGTTTTGTGTCATAAGTAGGCCGGCAAAGCCTTTGCCATTCTTTCTGCATGTGTTTGCTTCTGATGTCTCTCTTTCCCTCTCCTCTGACACTGATGGCATCTGTGCTTTTGAAAATGGACACATTTTTGCCTTCCTTCATTCAAGAGTGTGTCTTTC